AAAAAGTATCTGGGCATTGTGGCAGGCACCGGTAGTCACAGATACTCGGGAGGCTGAGGCAAGAGAATCACCTAAGCCCAAGAGCTGGAGGTTGCTGTAAGCAGTGTGACGCTGCTACAGCACTCTACCAAGGGCGAGAAAGTGAGGCTCTGTCTCAAAAAAAAAAAGGGGGGGGGGCATTACTTTACACTGCATCTCCAAAGCTGAAATTCTGCACATGATCCTAGCCAAAAGACTGAGAAGCAATTCTGAAGTATCAATTCTAGAAGAGCATAGAAGTACTAATTTGGGAGTTCTTAGTATATGTTATTAACTTTTTTCCACAGTATTTATGCAAGTTTACCTATCTTCCATCAGTGAAACAGGACGGCAATTTCAGTAGAGCTTCAACAATAAATATTGTTGTTTTTTTTTCCAATTTGAGAAGAGATACTTTATGTCTTATCTAAAATATATCTAGTTTAATTTATTTAAATGCTATTCAGATAGAAAATACTAAAATACATTTATTAATCATTTGTTCCTTTAATTTTTTAATTGTTCCTTGCCAGTGTATTTATTTCTGCATTTATTCATTCAACAACTATTCACTCCTGGTACCTAATATGTACCAGGCACAGATGAAGGCACTTGAAGTATCTCTTTAAACAAAGTAGATAAAATCAATGCTCTCAAGGCGCTTCCATTCTCCCTGGACAGAGATAAACAATAAACTGCAAACAGTAACTGTAGAATACAGCAAAGAAAATGAGTCCTAAAAGAAAAAGAGGACACAGCCAGGGCAAAGGCTATAAGGTACATTTTGCCTGATGTGTTCAAAGATCACCAAGGAGACCTATGAGGACAGAGCACACTGGGTAAGTGTAGTGGAGGGGAGTAAGGTCAGAGGTTTGGGGTAATGGAGGAACAGGCAAGATCATGTGGGGTTTTATGGGTCTCATAAATCATTGCAAGCTCCTTTGATTTTATTGGGACTATGGGGGCATTTGTGGGGTTTGAGCAGGGGTATGACATGGCCTAACCCATCTTTCAAAGGGGCACTCTGGACACCAATGAGAATAAGTGATAGGACACAGAGCTGAAAGCAAGAGAACAGCTAAGAGTGTTAAAAAGATTCAAGCAGAGATGATACAACCCAGTGGGCTTGTAGCACTAGAGGTGACAAAGAGTTGTTCAATTCTGGAAACGTTCAGAAGTTAAGGACAAAGGGATTTTATAAAATGGACGTCAAGTAAGAGAAAAAGACCAGTCTATGATGAACCTAGGTTTTTCAGCTTAAGCAAATGGAAGGATGGTTTTTATTCCATGTTTCAACTGGAATGTGTTCTTTTACATTTTTTGAAAAGTATTTACATAAAAATAATTTAAGCCATTCTAAAGCGTATGTATTACAGATGTTTTCCCAGTTTATTTTTGTTAATGATATTTGTGACAACTTATTTTTTCATAGTTTTTTTTTTTTTTTTTTTTTTTTTTAAGAGATGGGGTCTTGCTCTGTCACCAAGGCTAGAATGCAATGGCTCCATCTTAGCTCACTGCAACCTTGAGCTTCTGGGATCAAGCATTCCTCCTGCCTCAGCATCCTGAGTAGCTAGGACTACAGGGGCACATCACCATGCCCAAATAACCTGTGTGTGTGTGTGTGTGTAGAGATGGAGTTGCCCAGATTGGTCTCAAACTCCTGGCCTCAAGCAGTCCTTCTGCCTCAGCCTCCCATCAGCAAGTAAGCCACCACTCTTAGCCTTAATTTTTACATTTTATGCAGGCAAACTCATGAGCATTTTCATTTAGATTTTCTGTCTGGATTTCGTTATTGTGCAAATATTAACATTTTTCTGATTTCCATCTTTTTTGTTTGCTAGTTTACAGTTAATACCTTACTATATTTAAGACCAATTTTGACACATGTCATTTAAAACATCACACTCTTTTCACTTGTTAAACATTTATTCTACTGTTGTTATTTGAAATGCTAATTTTCCATTTATTCTATTAAACCATATTTACATTCTTTTTCAGTACAAAATATTTTTAGTTATTGATGTTTGGGAATATACTTGACTATTTCATAGTTAAAGTCGTAAACATTGCCCTCATTCTTCCAACTTCTCTTGGCTTACCTTAGTATTTGTAATTCCAGATCAAGTAAGAAGAGCCAAGTGATAGCTCCCTTTGATTTTGACTGGAATCATGCTAAATGTGTAACTGCATTTAATAAGAACTGCCATTGCTACAACATTGAATCTTCCACTCCATGAAAATTTATTTGAATATTTGCAGTTTTCTTTTCCATCAAATTTGAAAAACAGCACTTCTAAAAATGGATCCAATTGTGAATTCTTTTAGTTCGTGGAGTCTGAGGTCATCCTTTCCATTTGAGATCAGTACCTTTTCCTCAGTTGAAGAGTATTTTTCCTTTTATGAAATCTGCAGTTAGTTCTTCTGTTGTTCTTCCCTTCAGTGACATCAGGCATCCACATTCTGCATTTCAGTTGTTTCTGCCCTTTTATATTACTTGATCTCTGCTATTACTTATATCTCATCATTCTATAGGGCATTATAAAGTATTTTTACATTAATGATCAAATACATTCTTGTTTTTTTGAAATGTTGATACAAAAGCTAATGCCGTCTTTGTCTTCTTAAACTCAGCCAACTCCCTGTTACCTGCAATCTGTCGTCTCATTATATCTCACTCCCCACCCGTTCTTTCATGGACTTCTATTTCCTTAAATATCATCAAAAATATTGAGCACTACTTTATGTAACTTCCTTCTAATTCCTTTAATACATCTTCTAAAAGTTCAACCTTATTTCTGAATCTTGATTGTTATATCTGTCTTCTTGTGTTGCTGATACAGAATTTGTCTCCATTTTCTTGATAGGTTTTTTTCTTGTCCAATTCTGCTTAAAGGATGAAAAGACTATCTGCCATGGCCTTTGTCCACACACACAAAGTTAGATTATCCTTGGTTTCTTTCACTGTCTACTACATACATGGGATCAATTCCTCTTTCTCATCTTGAGCTTGTGTATTGTTTTATAGGCAAGTACTCTAGCTAAATCTATGGTATCTGGCCAAGATTTACATTGTATACTGCTTCTGGATGGAGGAGGAAATTCTTTGTTTCTCTTTTCATTTATGATGCCCTAAGGAGAAAACTTTATTCCTCTATAATATTTCTCTATGACTCTTTTAGAATTAATTTACAGAAAAAGAGTATACAGAGCTTGACTTCTCTGCTCATATTCACCATCTTTATGCTCAGAAAAGTATTAATATGGCAGATTCAGGAAATATGATGGTGCAATAACCCTGGCCTCTTCAGAGTCTAGCTTTGTAGGAATACAAATGTAATTTCAATTGTTATATTTAGAGAAGTATTTACATATTTAAAATAATAGATGCAGAGATCATTTGGAGATTTAGAATCTGACAACTCTAGTCCTTCGAGGCATGAACTCTTCCTGTCCCCATGTACTTTGGTAGAGAAAGATTTTACGAATGTTCTTGATGAAAATGTCCACATATTTTGGTACTTTGTAAGTATTTTGATCAAAGGAAAAGGTCAATAAAGTTACCCTATATTTTTGACATTATAATTACATTTTATTGAATTTGGATAACTAAGCATTATCAGGCCAAAAGATGACTTCGATTTCAACAAATTTTTCCAACTCTCCTCTGTTTATACAGAGCTCATCTCAATGCACATTTTTCTCATTTATTATTTTTATTTTTCACAAATTTTTATGTAGTCTGGTCAACATTTGTAGGAAAGGAATTGGAAAATCAAATATACAACTACAGTACCATAAAGAGAAATAAGGAAGAGGCTTGGCAGTCAAAGAAGAGAGAGATTTCTAGTGATGTACAAACTCGTTTTCATTTATCAGCTGATGGTCACTGTTGGAACAATTTATATATAAAAAGTGACAGATGACCAGCATAGGAAAGAGATTTGTAACAGGTCTTTATGATTTCACAGAGATGGAACAGGAATTTTTCTATGGCAAACATGAATATAAATATCATGAACACAAGGCTAGTGGAAAAATTCTATGATTGTGAGGACATGGAACCAAGAACAGCACGTTAAATGGGCTGGGAAGAAAACTGCTAGAGACTATTATCCTCAAGGAAATGGTGCTCAAACAGCTAGAATGGTAGCAAACTTTAATAGAATTGGAGACAGCTGTGATATAACTGACAAACCAAGACGCTTAACTGTATACATGTATAAGGTCAGACAATTAAGTTCACAACTCATCCTCATATCACTACGGCCACCTTCGAAGAACTCCTCTTGGGAAGCTATGAACCTATGCCTTGATGCCAGTCCTTTCAAAGCACTTCTTCTGGAATACGTTAGAGAACTTAATTATCCAACCATGTAAAAATAAGGAATAAAGAGTCAACTTCTCCACATGCTGATACCATATATAACCCAGAGCTTCCCTCCTGCAAGTATATTCATTAGACCAAATCTCTAATGATCTATTGGGTCTTAGGGTCAACAGATGAAGATGTTTTTTGCTTTATTTCTCTTTCCAATGAAGTTGGGAGAAAACAAAGATCATTGGAAGTCATGATGACTTTGTCTTCGGTGCTCATGTGTTTCAATTTGGAGTTTTTAGGCATTGGTTCTTATGTAAAGGATTGTGTAAAAGACTCTCAACTTCTCTGTGAATAAGTACGTACGCATAAGTAATTACTGGCAAACTTGAAGGCAGAGATCTTTTGTACTTACTTTGTCTTTGTTGTGCCTTATGAAATGATTTTGTGTGTATATTTTGCTTAAGTAATATCACATCAAAAAAAATTTTATCTTAACCCCCCAAAATTAATTTTATACCTTTTGATAATCTTTTATGTAAAATATAGTATGCAATACACAATAAATATATTTGAATACATAAATTCTTAAGCCATTACTTAACATATGCCTATTTTCAACTTTAAAAGATAATATATTGAAATCAAAACTTAGTTTTCTTACCTTTCTGGATATGTAAGTGATTTTAACATGAGACTCTGGATCCTGTATTTGCATGTGGGACACTGCAACTTTGAGCTCTGGTAATATGTCAACCCAATTCTTGAAATATTTATAACATCATTTAAAAATTGAGCAAGAATCTTGACTTCTTGAAGTTTATAAAATGGTTGGTTCTTCCTAAACAGAAAATGTCAAATACTCAGCATATTAATAATTTGGAACATAATTTAGTTCTGATATCATTATAATCCTAAATAGGCAGGATATGAAGAACAGTAACTTAGGGATATGGTCAAACAAAATATTTGTTGAAGAATTAATTAAAATAACTTAAGCTGTAATTTGTAACATAGTAAAATAATTGACAATAAATTCATTTCTCCATAGAAATATTTTGAAAATGCTTTTTGAGAGAAAAAGTGAGATATCTTGTCTTTCTGAGAAGAAAACTAGATTGCACATTGACCTAAGATTAGAGCAGTAACTTGGTATAATTTTATACCCATCAATAACTATTACAGTTCCTTGAATATACAAGGTGCTCAGTTGATTTGCGCCACTTTATCAAATATTTTGACTTAAAGAATATATATAAAAGTCTTATATTCAGCATAAAAAGGGTATTATTTAATAAGTATAATTTTCTGAGCATTATCAATGTAATAAGGCTTTTCATACGTAACCTCATTTAAGTATCTCAATGAGTAAGATTTTTATTAGAAACTATAAACATTCTCATCCTGCAGATGAGAAAACCAGGCATCAGAGTTTGCATTACAGAGTTGGGATATAAATGCAGACACATCAGCACACCTCGAACCTCTGCTCAGTTCCTCCTTTCTATGTGCCAGAAGCGTGAGTCCCAGAAGCATTCATGTCAGCTGGGTTTGCCTGACCCCAAACAGAGCTCTACCCACCTTCCTGCGTGTTCTCTCATTAGCTAAGTCTACGGAGGAAGGAGTGGAAAGGAGAAGGAGGAGAAAAAGGAAGAGAGGATAGGAAAGAAGAGAAAGGAAAAAGTTTTTTAAAAACCTGTTGAAATAAGTTCCTCTATTTAAGTAACAACAACTTAATCAAAGGTGACAATCACACAGAGAACAGCTGGAGTGCAACCAGGGGGCACACAGCTCTGCCTGCCATCTCCTATTTGTCCCTGCATTCATCTTCTTTTGATTCCTCAAAGTAGCTAGACCCCCCCCAAATGATATGGTCATACCCCTCAAGGTCCATCTCTGCTCAACCCTGGCAGTATTATAACCTCCTCTTTCACAGAATATAATGCCCTTGGGCATATCTCTATTTCTTACCAAGGGGTTATCTAAAATTTTCAAGGATATTTCAGATTCAACACAGACAGATAGGAGCACATTATTTCACCCCACAATCTCATATCTACGTCAATGGTTTGAATTATCAACAAAATAAGTTTGCTCTGACGCCAACTCTCTGCCTCTAGCTGAGGCCTGTCTGCTGAATCCCTTCCAGAAACCCACCCCTGTTATTCACGATGTCCATTTGGATATTTCAAGGATGCCTGAAGCTCAAGATGTTTACATCTAAATGAATCATCTTCCTCCACATTCTCCCCCCACTAAAAAACCAAACAACAACAACAACAACAAAATAACCTGCAAGGAAACTTACACATTTTCTTACTACTGTCAATTGCCCAGGCCACACAGCTAGGATTCGTGCTTCATTGCAACCTTCCCCATCCAAGTATCACCAATTCCTACTGACTTTACCTTTGCAATACGGAATCTTCTTTCAATTTCCCCCTCAATTTTCCATCTGTAATGCAAATCCTCTAACCCGTATCCCATCTAGCCTAAGTGTGTATCAGGCGCTACCATCTAGGTTTTTGTAAGTATAGTCTATAATGGTCACTAATGATGAAATCTCCTAAGGAGAGAATTCTCAGAGCACACCCCCACTGACAAGTGAAGCATGTCTGTAGTACCATGTGACAGTAAAGGCATTAGCAAGGCTTTTGCGACAAATCCCACGACATGTGCATATATGCCCATATTTTATATTCCTCTATGAACAATGTGCCAAGTCAGTTATCTGAATAAAATGAATCACTATTCTAAGGTGTTCCACATACAATATGATGATTGTAAATTAAATCAAGACTCCCAGACACCTGAACAACTGCTCGGCGCCTGGACTTTGTGTGCTACTCCTGAACGTAAGTACTTTCCTATTTCCATGCTTTGAAAGTATTCCTCTTATACTATGACTCCATTATCTCATTTCAAAGGTTTCCTTGCTTTTCCTTTGTGTTCCCCAAATACAATAAGTGGCCATACAGTAAAAAACATATTACTAAGAAGTGAAATTAGTCATTGGACTCATTCAGTATTTTGAGACGTCCTTAAGAATAAAACACTATTTATTTCAGTTTGGGTCCCTATCATTTTGTGAAATGCCTGAATAAGTTTGGTACTAAAACATGTGCTGAATAAGTGAATTAATTCAAAAGCTAACAAAGCATGTTGTTGATAAGAATAAATAATAGAACGTGTGTATATATACATGCATATATAAATTTTGAGTAATTGAAATTAATAAACTATTATAGAATAACATTATTTAACAGATTTTGTGTTCAAAACTAGGTAAAAAACGGCTTAAAATTTCTTTAATACAGTATAAGTCTCAATGAAAGTGAAGAATTTTGATTGATTTTCTGGTTTAAAAGTGTTATTTTCTTCTCTTTGGATGACTGAAGAAGGAGAAAAGGGGAAAAGAAGAAGAAAATTGGTATTCTTTCATTACCAGTGCTATCCAATCATCAAATTATCTGCAGTGTATTTATTAACTTTAAGAAAATTGAATTTATGGAATTTAATATTAAAATATGTTTATCTGAAACTTTTGAAAATTTTGCCTGACTTGTAACCCAGCATGTTTTTGTCAAGGATGAACATGGCATTGCCTGATGGAATGATCCACATGTTACTTCAGTACACAGGTCCTCAATATTTTTGCCATCATGAACTTGCATAGTTGGTATTGTGCTCTGTAGAATAAAAGAACTAGAGTGCAGAATATAAAGTCCTTTTAATATTTAACATGTTAAAACTCCCTGGATGAATATTTAAACTCTTTGTACTCCTGCTGAACTGGAAACTCAAGAAAGCAAACATTGAATTGAAAATGCTAAAATGTACTTACTCATAGAGCCTTGGTTCTTCAGTTCTTCCAAACTGGTTTAATAATTTAAATGAAATATAGCCATCTTTCATAGTTTCATCCAGAACAATTACACTGAGAACATAATAGTAGGCTACAAAACAAAAATGTAATATACAATCATATTCTGTTTTAAATTTTGTTTTGTGTTGGTATACATGCAGATATGTGTACACATGTGCATATTATATGTAACCTAGGCCCAAGTTATATATGCAACTAATATCACTGACAGTCATTTATTTGGTAAATAGATGACATATTTTACCTCATGTTTGTCAACTTTGACTAGAATTAAAAGTGAAAAATATAAAGGCCTGCCAGTCGGTCATAGGCATGGGAAGAGTTGACCAAATAGCCTGTAAATGCTAATTGGCCTGCAAACCAAAAATATTCAGTATTTTGGTCAATAAAGCAACATTTCTTTTTCAGTAGCACATCTAAGGTAAATATGATGAAGTTGCATAATTATCTGATGAATAGTAGTATCCAAATTTTCTTGGAAAACGTAATTCCCAATTTCACTGGCTGTTCAGGAATAAGGATGAAATTAAATATTTTCATATAAGGTTAGCTCATAATAGTTCTTATTCAGATTGCCCTTACTAAAATTTATTGTAGTATGTCTTTTAGAGTCAAGGATGCTGTACTCATCCCTATAGTCAATATTGTGAGGGCTAAACAGAAAGTTTTGACTCTGAGTCATCCCAAATCTCATGTAACCCCTCCTAGAAGAAAATGTGTATATGTTATATTAAACTGAACATGGAATGCATGAATTTTCCTGTGAGAAATACACATATGAAAATTGTTCATGCTAGTTGTTAAATGTTGCTACTAATAGTCAAGAATAACCTAATGTCTTATGCTTAATACTCAGCTCAATTTCTTATACAAAAGTTATAAAGGAACACTGCTTACTTCTGAGTAATTTCCCAGCTTCTGACAAAGTGTTTTGGTTCACCTCTCCCATTCATACCTGCTCAAATGACTTCAAGCAGCATGACATACAAGGACTGACAAATTTGCAAACATGACACCATGCACTTACATTGGCAGCACTGTACAAACAACTCAGTAAGGTTTCATAACATTGGTATATCAATGTCTCATAGCTGTGTTCAGCTGTGTGAGGGTGTTTTGCTGAGTAGGATTCATTACTGTTGTTGCCTGTTTTTGTATGCCATCACAAGAATGATAGAGCTTGAATTAGAGCAAGGAATAAACATAAAAATTTTATTAAACTTTGCAAGAGTGGAAGTTATATCAGAGATATGTTAGTCCAAGTTTATAGGGGCAATTCCATGAAGAAAATGACAGTGTACAAATGGATTAAACATTTTTCTAAGGGGAAAGAAAACATTGATAAAGAGAGGTCAGAGTGGCCAGTAACAAGCAGAACTGACAAAAACATTGCAAAATTGTTGAATTGTGCATAAAAATCATTGGCTGATTGAGAAGCATAGAAGTAAACATCAATAGAGAAACAGTTAGCAAAACCTTAACTAAAAATCTTGGCATGAGAAAGGTGTGTGGAAAAGTGGTTCTCAAGTTGTTCACCAAAAGAACAAAAGTAAAGGACAAAGTTTGCCAGGACCTTTTGGAAAGCCAAGACAATGTTTGGGGCTCAGTTATCACTGGTGATGAACACGGGGGTACCAATATGACCTTGAAACAAAGTGAAAATGGAAGTCAGTCAATTTTTCACAACCAAAACTGTTCTGTCAGTCCAATCAAGAGTCAAAATAATGTTGCTATTTTTTTTTATTAAATCATAACACTAATGATGTGTAAATTAATGCAGTAATGGGATACAATGTGCTGGTTTTATATACAACTTGAAATATTTTCATCAAACTGGTTAACATAGCCTTCATGGAATTTTCTTAGTTATTGTGTTAAGACATTTATATTCTACATTTAGTAAGTTTCACATGTACCCTTGTAAGATGCACCATAGGTGTGGTCCCACCAACTACCCTCCCTCCACCCATCCCGCCTCCTCCCCTCCCCTCCCTTTCCCCATATTCTTGAGCTATAATTGGGGTATAGCTTTCATATAAAAGCTATAAATTAGTTTCATAGTAGGGCTGAGTACATTGGATACTTTTTCTTCCATTCTTGAGATACTTTGCTAAGAAGAATATGTTCCAGCTCCATCCATGTAAGGCTGCATAATATTCCATAGTGTACATATAGCACAATTTATTGATCCATTTGTGGGTTGACGGGCTCTTGGGCTTCTTCCATGACTTAGCAATTATGATTTGGGCTGCAATAAACATTCTGGTACAAGTATCTTTGTTATAGTGTGATTTTTGGTCTTCTAGATATATACCTAGTAGAGGAATTGTAGGATCAAATGGTAGGTCTATTTTTAGTTCTCTAAGTGTTCTCCAAACATCTTTCCAAAAGGAACATATTAGTTTGCATTCCCACCAGCAGTGTAGAAGTGTTCCCTTTCTCCACATCCATGCCAACATCTCTGGTTTTGGGATTTTGTGATATGGGCTAATCTTACTGGAGTTAGATGATATCTCAAAGTAGTTATGATTTCCATTTTTCTGATGATTTAGGATGATGAGCATTTATTCATATGTCTGTAGGCTGTGTGACTGTCTTCTTTAGAGAAGTTTCTCTTCATGTCCCTTGCCCACCCTGAGATGGGATCACTTGTTCTTTTCTTCCTAATATATTTATGTTCTCTGTGGATTCTGGTTATTAAACCTTTGTCGGAGACATAACCTGCAAATATCTTCTCCCATTCTGAGGGTTATCTGCTTGCTTTACTTACTGTGTTCTTGGCTGTGCAGAGACTTTTTAAAACATTTGATCAGGTCCCAGTGCTGTATTTTTGATGCTGCTTCAATTGCCTGGGGCATCCTCCTCATAAAATATTCATCCAGATCGGTTTCTTCAAGAGTTTTCCCTGCACTTTCTTCTAGTATTTTTATAATTTCATGTGAGTTTAAATCTCTAATTCAGTGAAAGTCTGTCTTAGTTAATGGTGAAAGGAGTGGGTCCAATTTCAGTCTTCTACAGGTTGCCAGCCAGTCTGCCCAGCACCATTTGTTAAACCATTTGTTGTTTTGGTCATTTGCTATTTTTTTTTTTTGTATCAAGGGATTGTTCATTATAAATTTGTACCAATTGGACAGACAATTAACCACGGTTATTATTTGGAAGCACTGAAAAGGATGCATGGAAAAGTTAGAAGAAAATGACCTGAACTTTTTGCCAACATCTTATAGCTTTGGGTCACTACAATGCACCAACTTACATGGCACTAACTGTGGGGGAGAGTTTAGCCAGTAAAAAAAATAACTGTATTGGAATGCTACACTCCACTCACCTGATCTGGCCCGCAGTGAATTTTTTGTTTACCTGAAGATAAAGGAAATATTGGAAGAAAGGCATTTTGATGACATTTAAGACATCAAGGTTAATATGAAATAGCTTTAATGACTATTACAGAAAGAGTTCCAAAATAGCTTTGAAGGGTGAAATTAAAGTAGAAATTAAAGTCAAGGCTGTCAGGACTGATGCCTACTTCCTTGGGATCTGAGAACTGGTGATAGCATGGAAAGGAGGCTGAAGTGTCCACCTCCATGCAGAAACATAGTGCTAAGTGACAGAGCTGAAATGGACATATCTGCCCAGGGCCAGGGGCCTTAATTCCAGGTGTCATTATTCACAGAAATAAGAACTATAAAAATGTTTCCTGCTGCTTGTGTGGGCCTTAGGTGGAAATAAACAAATGAATGTTCCCTGAGACTAAATAAAAGTTCAGATAATATGGAATTAAAAACTATACTAATTCATATGATAAGGGACCCCTAAACATTTTCATTAAAATATAAGAAATCTAACTTGCTATGAAGGGAGAATTTTGAAGAACTGACTGCAGAGAGCTTTCTATGTTAAAAGAAGACATGAGTCACTATTCTGAAATAGCATAAACTTTTTTCATTAATTTTAATGCATACTTAGATAGATGATTTAGAGTAGAAAATAATGATGAAGCAAAATAAATAAGTAAATAAATTCAATCCGAATAAAATATATTTTTTCTAGGAATAAAACAATATTTTTAAAATTCTGAGCTTAATTAACTCTCAGCACAGAATTCTGTCTTAGTTATATTTTCATTCCTGAGGAATGGAAATATAAAAATATTTTAAGAAAATTAAAAGTAGACTGAGAGAAACTGCTAATGAAGTCACTGGCAGGGCATATTTTAGCAAGAATGCAAGTACACTACAGCTATCATTTAATAAAAACAGCTATCATTTAATTAAAAAAAACTCAAAAAGAAAAAGGAATTAAACCTAGAAAAAAGAGGGGAGAAGGAAAAGGGACAGGGCAAAGTATAGAAAACTGAAATTGGAGGGACAACTCCAAATTCTGGTGTGGATGGAGAAAAAATATATTACTCATATATTGTTAATGGATATGTAAAATATTACAATCACTCTGGGAAATCATTTGGCAGGTTCTTAAAAAAATGACCAGTATTTTCACTCTTAGGCATTTAGCTCAAAGAAATAAAGATGACTTACATAAAAATGTATAGAAGAATGTAACAGCTTCATTCATAATAGTAAAAACTAGAAACAACCAACATATTCTTCAATAGATGAAAAGTTCTCTTCAGAAAAATATTAAAAATCTGAATTTTAATGAAATCTGAAAAAGATTAATGGCCAACCTCTTTCAAGATAAGTTTTTAAGAGTAGAACATGGAGGTGAAATTATACCATCACATAATAATATGTGTAACTACAACAGGCAAAGGATGTGTTATCATCTCCATATTTATGAGTATAGATGTAAGACAGAACAAAACTGCCCAGAAAATAAATAGCTCTCTTGTGTGAGTTACATGTGTGTGTATACTGTTACATAACATAACATGATACACTTATTTATATATAGTATATTAAAAGGGCTTAACAATATCCACAAAATAAATTAAAAGAGCCAAGATTATCCAACATAATATGTATAGTAATAAAAGATATACTATCAATGGTTATTTTTCTTATAATTTTAAATAAAATTAGGCTTGGTGATAATGAGGATATAAGTTAATAT